ACTAGTTAGTAGTCCCCATAAAGGATTTCCTCCTACACAAATTATATTATTTGGCATTCAACTACAACCACTGCACCAAGTGACATGTTTGATTCCAAAAGAATTATCATGCCTTTTGTGTAGTATCTTGGAGATGCTTATTTTTGCAAAGGTGCCCGTGATTATATATTTATATGGTTGTTTATACTTGCCGTGTAAATTTCCCACCCAGTTTGGAAAACATACCCTTAAGAAAAAAAGCAAACTATAGCTAAGTGATTGTTTTTTCTCTGCAACGGACTTTCATTGAGTAGCTTTATTAAATATCTTATATCTGATATTGCCTTGTAGTATGAGATAAATCTCATTGATAATTTTTTCTGGATGGTTGGTTTAACATGTGCTACTTGGATTGACATATAATTACAATTGACTGGAGCCATTTACAGGTATCGAATACAAAGTGACAAGAAAACTGCCATCTGTAGTGTTCATCCATCTGAGCAAGCTACATTACAGTGCATTGGATGTGTGAAAGCAAAAATTCCTGTCGCTAAGAGTTACCATTGCTCCACTAAGTGTTTTGCACATCCATGGCCACATCACCGTAGTTTGCATGAACATGCTGCTAGTGCTGTCAATGACAACACAAATGAGGATGAAGAAGCAGTATGCTACAACAACACAACAACTTTGCATCCATCACAATCTGCTTCTAGCTTGGCAAATGGCACAACACCTTTATATCCATCATCAGTTGCACAGAGGAATGGTGGTGAAGCCTGGGTTGAAGTTGGACGGCTTAAGACATATACACCAACAACTGATGATATTGGACATCCCCTTAAATTTGAATGTGTTGTTTTAGATGCAGAAACCAATCTTTCAATTGGACTGGCGAATACTATATTGACATCTCATGTGATTCCAGCTCCATGTCCTACACCACGCCGCTTAATTTCAGTCAGAGAAGGTGACGTTTCAGCAATTCCTGATTTGGGTGGCCGCATTTCGTCTTCTGGAACATTTACTGTGCTCTCGTACAATATATTATCTGATTCATATGCCACAAGTGAATTATACAGTTACTGCCCGTCTTGGGCCCTTTCTTGGACATAACGTAGACAGAATCTATTGCGTGAAATAACTGGCTATCGTGCTGACATTGTTTGTCTTCAAGAGGTACACATGATGGTAGATTTTTGGAAGTTAGTTCAGTCTTTTAAAGCATAGGATCTATTTACTGCTTCCATCCCAAAATGAAGTTTGCAATTTGACTTCATGGATTTTTAAGGGAAGTGTTGAAAGAGAAAAAAAAGTGTGGTTTACATTT